AATATCGATTGACTCGTTGATAACTACCGTTAGTTGCATTCTGTCGCATGGTAAAGCCTGAAGAGGACAGAGCTACATTATCTCTACTGGAAAGACCTCTGGGTGTAAACTGACTAGATTTTATTCGAGCGTGTTTAGGAGATAAACCAGCTGAGATGGATTTATCAGGCGGGGGGGTCCACATAGAGGGGAAATGGCCTTCACTTTCACTATACCTCTGAAAAGATGAGGGATTTCGAGGCATGGATGATATGGTAAAACTTTTATGCTTTGTATACGTTGGAGCGTTTCCATGAGAAGGCATTTCATGCAGGCGGGGATGAGTATGAAGTTGATGTTGTCTTGCATAGGAAGAATCAAATTCACTCGGAGAGACGTATGACTGGCTTCGTTTGGTTCGCAATGCTGTTGTCATGTCTAGGAAAAGAGGATTTTCGTAGGTTAAGCTTGAAAATAAATGTTTAGCAGTAATGAACTCAATACGCTGTTCGCGTTCAGCAGATGGAAGAATTGAACATTTCCCTTCGTGTTCTTCAATAGTTGTATTGCAAATTTGTGTCAGACGTACACGCCGAGTTGTAGCTACTACACGGGGTCCAGAGGTCTTTGATGGACCACTTTCAGACTGAAGTAGAGCAAGAAGTGTGTCTGTAGATTCCAGAAAAGAAGCAGAATCCTCAGTTCTTTCAGTAAGAGTTTTGATCGCCCTGTCAAACAGCCTAGACTTGCCTCTACAGAGAATACTCCAAAGGCAACTTCCAATAACACCTGAACGATTACTACGTGTATCGGAAACAGGACTGTCCAAATCTAAAAGAGGTAAATGGTCCACTGACTGAGAACGCACGGGATCTGTGAAAAGACTGAGCGGTTCTTCCTCGCTAGCTGCTACGGTAACTGAATCTAAGTGCAGATTCTGCTCCAGAAATGGCTGGGTAACACGCGAGGAATGGTGGACTAATGCGTTTGGCAACAGGAGCACATTTCTTCCCTCCTCAGAAGGGTGGTGGGTGGTAGAAGGCGAGGAAGGAGTTGCAATGGCCTTGAATCGATGCAATGGGCTTGAATCCTCAGGCTGAATGCTCAGATCAGCCTTTCCGCCCGCCTCACGCGATTGTAGGTTTACTATTGGTTGCTCTGTCTCCTCACCTTGTAATCGATAGCCTATCTCTGCGTTCATGTCCGTCTCACTAATATGCGCCGAAAGTGAGCTGGTTTGCGTGTCTGCCTCACTAATTTCTCCCGATTCAAATTTCTGTGTGACTTCCTCATGCTCTAGCGCCTTGGGCGTCATTTCTATTTCCACACAGGGTCTTTTTATTGTGGGTTCTTCATCGCCTGTCCTTTTGGGAAGTTGAGGGAGAATTCTTCTTCCCTGGGAATTTACTTTATCGCCCACTTGTTGCTGTTGTTGGTCGAATTGCTTTACTGACTCGGGACATGGTATTTTTTCTCCAACTGGGGTGGGGAATTGTTTCTAAACATAAATTAAACGCCACAATTATACCTTTTTTTATCATCCAAATTAACATTATATGAAGCCTTCTATTGGAACATTGTGGATCATTGCATTTTTTTATTTCAATATGTCCTTAAAGCAACTAACACTTAGTGGAATTGTGCACTTTTCAATTTGCATTCCCTCTCCTTCTGCAAAGGTCAATTTACGTGTGACATGCGTTTAGGCATACATTCAGTCAAGATATTTACAAATTCACACCCGTTCCTGCATTGTTCGTGGTAACTTTTCAGAATACACCACTCCAAGATTTTTGGAAATAATCCTATATTCGAAAGGTGTGGGGTGTACGATAGACTTACCTCCACGTGGTGCAACCTGGGCAACGTAGTCTATTATTCGGCAGTTGACTTCAGACTACCATTGCAACACTGTATGTCATATTCCACCACTTCCACAGTACTCACCTTTCCTTTTCTATCCCCTTTTGTCCCTCTGTCTATTTACACTCTCTCCTTTTTCCACTTTGATTTTCCTTTCTTTCTGTGAGACCTAATGTCAACTAAAGGGCTAATGATAACTATCATAACGCCCGCCATTTGATATAAATAAATATCAGGGTTGTCAACTTGCTCAAGAAACAAAAAGTCAAAAAGTGAACCGTTTGAACCATTAAGAAAACCACTATCTATTGGTAGTAAAACTTTTCTAAAGACAACTTTTACTACTAAAAGGTGTCAGATTTAAGCTATCATTCCCAGTTTAGCAAACCTAATCTGATAGGATTATTTAAAAGAAATACAATTTGGTAAGTACATCTCTTAAACCACCTCATTGCATGGTAAATAGGTGTTGTGTATTGAACCATGATGAAACGGAATTTTGCAAATTATGATTTTCACAAAAGGTGGTGTATCACCCTTAAGAGTATTATTTATTGAATGGTAGAGAGAAAATGGGTGCATGCTAAATGAGGCCAGTGTGAATTGAGATCGACAAAAATTAGAGATATTTTTACTAGAAATCTGGAGTGAGTGGTTTGGAAGTAGCACGTGATGTAGGCTTCGACACAATCTCTCTCTCTCTCCCTCTACTTGCAGTTGTCCGCTTCATCCACTATCAATAAAAATCGAACTGTTTGGCAAATTATCAGAGATAAAAAATCAAATTCCAAATATAAAAAGGGCATTTTAAGGGCTGACTGTATTTATTTTATCAATTTTCTCACAAATTCTTTAATCAATGATTACACCCTCTTAATATTTAAAATTGGCATTTTTTTAAAAATTAAGGATTTTTTAGCTTGAGAAATAGTGCGATGTTGAGAGGTCATCATAATCTTTTTAAGTTTGGATTGTTGAAAAGAAATGTTCAAAAGATTTTACAGTTGTATGGACTGAAATCGGTTGTCGGCAATTGCAGAAGCACAAAGTAAAGAATGTCATTAAGTGTCAGGTAGAATTTCAATTGCACACGGTTTATAATGGAAGCTCCAATTACTGCGAATTTCAACAATCACTCCATATCAAGTGGGTTCTTTTAATGCCCAATACAATGCAAGCATTATCTACCAATTTTGTGGGTAATGAGTTTCCTCCACATCACTT